TTTCCAGTTTCTCACTGCCCCCCTCCACAAACAATCTGAAACGTCACAGCACTAAGGGCCAAATGTCTCTGTTCAGCCACCCAAAGGAGGCAGGACAATGCACAGCTGTTCTTGAAAAGATTAAGGAAAACAGAGGAGCCTTAGAGTCTGCTGTTGACAAAGTACCCACAGAGAAACTCCTATTTCTCTAACAGTTTCTTCTTCTCTAGTAAAAGCAGCCATCAGCAGCCTCTTTCTGAGGCTGAAGCCTCCCCAGGGCCCAGGCAGGTGACTGTCCATGGCACCACACCATCCATGGCAGCAAAGGAGCCTTCTGAGCCCATGCCTTGCCCTAGCCTTGCTGTCATACACTGCTGCAGCAGAAAATCTTGTTCTTCAATTACCTTTGGAACACTGCCCACTTGTAGAAGCACAAGCAAGCACAGAAGCTACCTGGGCTAGCATGCTGACTCCTGCTTCTCCTAAGGTTGCATTGAAGTTTAATCTCATTTGGACTGCATGGTGTGCACCAAAATAACAAACAGGTAGATCATCATGGTATTTGTTTTACACATTTTGTAACCCAGTTGCCTCACACTCTTCTCACAAGTACAAGACTCAACAAAGAATTTGCTTGGGAAAAAGAAAGGGTGAATCATGCTAGTTCTGCATAAACCTGTGCCAACAACACAGAATAACATACTTGAAAGCATTTTCTGTTTTCAGTTTGTTACACATTGTCTCCAACATCTCAAACCCTGTGTCAGTAAATAACACACAAGACAAATGGACATAAGCTGCTGCTTGACATTAATAGCAGCAATCCCATTTATTGCTCACCTGGCTCTCATTGGGGCCCTGAAATGCTTAAGAGGAGGCAAAGAAAAGATGAAAGACAAAACCAGAAAGAATTGGTGTGGTGCAGGGTAAAGCCAACACTGGTAATTTTTACTGACCCCCTAAGACCACGTTTCTGCAACAGCAGTGCACTGGTTCCTCCTGTCACCACTGCCACCAGAGCAATCTTACCCCACCTGCTAAAACCTCACCTCCATGACTGCTTACGGGCTACAGACTCACAAGGAGTCTTTCCCTTGGTATTTCCAGTGTTACTGCCAGTCCTGCACTCCCCTCTAGCACTTCCAAAGGGTAGAGTGCACTGTGCCAGACACCAGGGCAATTGTAGCTCAGGGGATGCAAGGTGCACATGATCACACCACTCACTGACTCTCCCTGCTGCTTTCCCAGTTTCAGCCATGTTTTGAAAAGGCAGGACTCTCCTAGATGCACACTTTCCAGACTGTCTAATGAGCACCAAAGCCCAGGCAAGACCCAGTGCTCTGTGCAAAGGCAAAGTGGGGAGGGTGGCCAGTCCATTCCTGGCACTGCCTCACCAGAGCACTCCTGAGTCTTACCTGAATGAGGCGCTGCGAGAGCTGTCTGGGCAAAGATGGAAGGAAAAGAGCAAACATTTAGGGACTTTCATTAGAAGTAAGTATAATATTCAAAGTATTATTCTGTAAGTGGATCAATCAAGAAGTAATTAATATTAGTTTGCTTTGGACCCAGATGCACTAAAGTGCTGTAAAATACTGTATTTTTTAACACTGTAATGGTGTGGACAGACACAGTGTATAATTATTTCACATACATATGTGAACACCATCACCACCATGGGGGCAAAAACCTGAGCAGCTGCACATCCAAGGAAGAGAAAATTGTAACAAAAGGTAAATGTAAGGGCCTGCTGATAAGAAGGACATCCCCACCAAATATACAAGGATGAGTGGGAAGACAAGGAACAAGATGAGCAGTATCAGGAACGATGAGACCCCCCCTCCCCTTTTGGGAAAGGGATAAGTAAAGGTGACAAAGGGACCATAAAATCGTGGAGCTTGATCAATACAGATATTGCTGAATATCCATATGCAAAAGTGTGCACCACAGCATGGCACTCTGCAAAGATTTTATAGATACAGGAAATTAACTGAATAATGTAAAGTTCAGTCCTCTAAAACTTTCACAGATAAAATATATCTCACATCTCTTCCCAACCCTCTTCAGAGATCAGTCTTTCGTTAAAAATTAATCTAAATCCGAACACAATGAAACCAAGTCATTAGGTACACTACAGCCATTTCCAAATTCTTGGGATGTGTAAATGTGTGCTTTATCTCACACTGCAGTGGAATCTTATGCCAAGTACAACACATGTTGAAAAATACAAGGCTCATGCCTCTTCAGACCTGACTGAGCTACCAAGTAAGATGGCAAGTATGTTCTGCAAGCCATCTGCTTTTTCTGCTGAGAAGAGAGAGACTAAAAATGTTTACAGTTATTTGAAAAACTCCTGCCCTACTAGAAACATTCCACCAAAGTGCAAACATACACATGCTAAAGCACAGTTTACTTACTTTGGCTAGAACACAGCTTTTATTGGGTATTTTGTTTATTGCAAGAGTTTCTAAGATGAAAAAAAAATAGCTGTACACAATTCTAAGTTGTCTGAATGCCTTGGTTTTACAGTCTACAAATGGAAAGGAAACATAACCTCACCCCCACAGATATCTAAATAGTAACAATTTCCAATTATTTCCACAGCCACAAATACTATGAAAAATAATCATTGTTGCAGCATCACCATTACAGTCGGGAAGGAAAAAAAAAAAAAAAAAAAAAAAAACCAAAAAAAAAAAAAAAACCAGAAGACTTCACATGTAACAGAAAAATAATTAACAAAAACAATGGTTTTAGCTTATTGGAGCAGAACCTATTATTTCCATGTCAAGCCCTTTTCTATTTCAAGTTTAATACTACTCCTGGATATATAAAATTACCCTTAGTGACAGAAGAATAAGCTATACAAGCTGAGAGCATTGCTAGCTGAAAAACTGCAAATCTGATTTGTGCTCAATCCCAGAGCTCACAGAGGATATTCTTACCCCAAAATCTTTCTTAAGTGTAGTGTGAAGGTATCTAGATGTCCTGGCATGGGTGAGAGGAAATTTAGGGCATGGCACACCAGTAGAGCCGCTGCAGGCTGTGCCCCAAGCAATCCCCCATGCAAGTCTCAGCACTCCCAAGTCAAGCTGCTCCTGACACTGTTTTTTGGAGGCTGCCCAAAAATGCAACTCATATGGCATCCCAGAAACTGCTCTGGCTTTAAGACAGAGAGCCATGTAGCCAGGTTAAGAGTTTCCAGAGCCCTCTTTGTTACAGGATGCAAGATCTACATGTCTGGGCATGCATCAGCCCAGACACATCCATTGGGAGGACGTTGGGACACAGGCAACAGTCAGACAAATGCTGGACTTGGGAGCATAAACACAACTGAGACATATTATGCCCATTGAAACAAATAGAGCATGTCTAAAGGCTTCTCCCAGCTGCATTCAGGCTCACCCATGGCTGGCTCTTGGTTCAAAGTCAGCAAAGTTTGCACAGATGCCAAGTAACTGTGACTGCACCTTCCTTGACACTGTCACAGCACTGGAGCACCAAGCTCACAGCATTCACTCTTCCTGGTGCTGGCCAGGGAAGGAGTGTATGGATGTGATGGCAGCTGTGGCACTGACAGGGGGCATGCAGGCACAACAACACCCCCAGCCATTCCTGACCTCTCCCTTTGGCCAGTGTCCTGTTGGAGTGCAGAGTCCAGCTCTGGCTGGCACAGTCCTCAGCAGCCCATGCTTCCCCAAGGGTTACTCAGCTAACACTGAGGTTCACGTACCATTAACAATATTAAATCAGTGACACTGAATTCTTGGCATAGGAGTGGGACCACTGTAAAAGTATCAACTTCTCCAATTTTCTGGGTTTTTTTTTGTTTTTAAAGCAGTATCTTCACATTACCTTTAGGTTACGCATTCTTCAAACTTTTGTTACAAACTAAAATACAGAAATGTTTCATGCAAGTCATTATGGAAAACAAACTTCAAGAAGTTCAGGTTGAAATGCATATTAATCAATCTTATCTTAGTTTCTTGAAATACACAGCTAGATTCTCATCCTGTTTAAGCTACCCTGAATTTAGCATAAGTGAAGATATTCTCACCCTAGCTGGCTTCACAAATATCCAATTTCTTCATTAATTCGAACAAGCAAGGGTAAAACTTAAACATACTTGCTTGATGTTTATCCACAATTTTTTTAAAAATAAAATCAAGTACATTTATTCTAGAGTTTAAAATAAAACCAAACCAACACCCACCCCACCCCCCTGCACAAAAAGACCAAAACAAGCAAACAAATGAAAAACAAACAACAAAAAGCAGACACCAACATCCTCTAGTGACTTCTGACCTGTTTTCAGGTCAGGTACTTTAGTTACCATTAGTGAGGTACATCAAAGTCACTACCACCAGAGAAACAAGGTCCATTTTTCCCATGCTGACAAAGAGACCAGAAGAGTACTACTATCTGTAGGGCTCTTATCAGCTCATTCAACTTCTCCCTCTATCACTTCCACCAGCTTTATTTGATCTGAATTTGCAGGCCAAAAAGTCCTTACTGACTACTATAGGCAATGCATGACCTGAGCAACATCTCTGCAGCACAAAGGTTCAAAAGGCCATTTTTGTTTAGGTTTTCTGATTGCCCTTAGAAGTTACATAGAAGACTTTAAAGGTCCCTGAGAACTCAGAAAAGGATACTAGGGAAACAAAAGCTCACAGCTATCCTATGATATTTCAAGGTTTTGCTTCAGAAAAAGTAAATACAGAGATTGCATGCAAACTGTGTATGTTCAACACTCTTAAACTGCATCTTATTTCCTTTTATTTATACTTTTTACTAGTGCTTGCTATGGGAACATTTATTAGTTACAAATTATCAAAAGTAAAATGACAAGAGCAATCTTTTAAATAAGGCAAGATAGGCTAACACCAAATGCTCTTTAGAAAAGCATCCTGTGTCAGCATGGGTGTAACATATGCTTGTACAAGACAAGCAATCCTATCTCACAGTTCTGTCCATCTTCCATTACCCTGCTTCTGTAATGTAAAGGCACTGACAGATCTTACCGCTGTACAAAAGACGCAGCTGCATTCCTGAAGAGTGGTCATCTTATCCCGGGAATATTCACAGAGACATAGCTTGCACGTGAGGAGAGGCTCCAGAGCTAACTCTCCAGCTTCTGACTCATCAGCTGTCATGGTGTCAGGACAAGCCTTCTCAGCAGAGCCCATTCAGTCATTAATGGTGCAACTCAGCCTGAAAAGAGAAATTGGCAGCTGAAACTTTGTCCAAGCCATGCAGTCACTTCCATTGCTTTGAAAATTTACATCTCAGATCCATAGAAGTACCTGCACACCCAAATGTACTACTCAACATCTTGGAACCATTTAAGATTTACAAAGAGATCACACCTCCTTAATAGACCTGAACTGGCTGAGTTCTCTGAGAACATTCACCTTGCTGGCACAAAGCACCTCAGTCAAGCTGCTTAACATCGAAATAAAGAAAAAGCCAAACAAACACAAAACAAAACTCACACAGATGGGGCCTTTTCAAATGAGTTTCAGACTCATACTCCCACCCAAATGGGATCCTTCAGTCTTCATTGCACCCACACAGTTCCAGTGAGTGTCTCCACTCCCACCTTCTATTCCAGTTGCTGGCTTGGAAACTCCCCTAGGCAGTGCAAGACAAGAACAGACTCCCACTTTCTAGGCAAGCGCTTCAAACATTTAGTCTGCAATGCTGGTGGTGGGTACCATGAACTCCACCTTCTCTGTCACTGAGATAGTGAGCTGGCAGTCTATTTATTGCAAGAGGGATGGTGAAAGCATCTAAACCCAGGAAAGGGCTTCAGCTTGCATGTGCTACTTCACACAGGGCTGGAGCTTAAAACCAAATGAGTAAGAGCATTTTATGTACAATCCTCTTTTTTGCATTGCCTTAATGATGCCAAAAAGTAGCTTTTGTGCATCTCACTTCCTGGCATCCAGCTCTTCTATTTATTTCATAGACCTCTGAGGCATTTAACTGATGTTTGTGAACCAAGTGCACTAGTACTTTGACAGAGAGATGCTCACCAAAGCCATGTTTTCACTAACATCACAGCAGTGCTTGGGGATGAAATTTCTCTTCTTTGATGAGCAGCAGATGGAAATGCCATGTCTGCATGTAATGCTTTCTGGCCTAAACATTTGAAAACACTGCACCATAATCGTAAAAAATCTCAAGACCCTCATTCTTACACATAACACTGAAAAAGCAATTAAAGAGAATATCCTCGTGCTTAAGCTGGAACAATGCAAAGCCTATTTGCAGATTTTACTCACCTCAGCACAGACAGTGAGGTTCACTACAGTATTTAAGGCACAGAAAAATCTATCCACATCTCTAAGAAACTTGGCCCAGCTTCCACAGACCTCCTTCTGAATACACTTTGCTGATGGCAAGACAACCGTCACACATATTTTACAAGCAGAGACCTGATGGCCAGCTGTGCACAGCTGCTTGCAGCAGCACCAAGAGTGCAGCTCTACTAAATCTGAAGAGCTGCATCACAAATGAAAGCTGCATGAACATGAAACCAATCAAAACCTATTGATGTGCCTGTCAGATCTGACATCTCATGAGGGAAACCAGAGACTTGAGCCCTTTGGTCCTCTTCTGCTGGCCTCCCTTGCAGCCCTGAGCACCCTCTGGGCAGGGCTGTCAGGTCACATTTGGCAGCACGTCTCTGCTGCCATTCAGTGGCTGCTGGAGTGTCCAATGCAGCTGCAGACCATCAATGCATTTGTGATGTACTGATGTGCAGTGCCTGCTGAATTCCTCCCTAGGGGGAGAATGATGGGGCTCGTGGAGTTTGTGGAACCCTTCCCTGCGGCTCCCATCTCATAACCTTACTCACAGCTGAGCCCATCCCCAGGCCTGTCCCCACAGCCTCATGCCCTGTGCTCCCACAATCAGCAGGAAGACATTTTATCCACAATAAATCTGGGTCAGAGGATACTTAGCCCTTTTTAATTTTTACACGTGGTAGTTTCCTAGACTATCCTGTCAGAGAAGCCATCAGATTTGTACTTTGGAATGTCTTTCTTGCAAGCACACAGTTTCGAGAGATATGAGCATCATGGCCAAGATTCTGGCAACCAAACTCCTGACCACAAATCCAAAGCAAACTCTCTTTTTATGGCTTGCTATCACTAGTTCATAACATACAGTACTCCCACACAATTCTTGTTGCAGTCCTGGGGCCTGCTACCCTGATGCCCCTCACAATTTGCTCTGTACAGCTCCAGAGCTTGAGCTCCAGCATGGCCAGAAGGCTTAGAAGGAAGTCTCCCTCTGAGTCAGGAACTGCAACAATCTTCTGTAATTACTGCAGAAGGGTGGGGGGGAACACTGAGTCACTGAAAATGCTATGGCAGATCAAGAACTACCTGTTATTTAAACCCACGTGCTAGACATTATCTCAGTATTTAGGAGAACTGTAACACATTTACTCAGGTTGCTTTTCAACAGCAGCTGCATCTGTACAGGTGAGCTACTCACCCTCACTCTGCAGTGATCTGAGATTTCTACACAGTAAAAAGCAGCAAAGGTAAAAGGACAGATGCACAAAAGAACAGGAAGGAATATTTCAAGATGTGGGAATGGATATAAAATGGATACAACCGTTTCAAAAGTCACTGTTTTTCTTATAACTAAAAGGGTTATGACCCTGCATGCAGGCAGCATTAAGGCAGCTGTAGGAAGATTCAGGTGTGTGATTGAGTTTTAGGGCTAGAGGCTAATTTTAGATGGCCTAGATCCAGCATTTAGTGTGACACTGAGGAGCAGGCTCCTGACACACTGCTCTGTGCTAGTAGCAGCCTAATGCCACAGTGTGATGGCTGTAGGGACTCATTATGATATCCTATTGTCATTGATGATAACCCTTGTCCCTGAAGACCATAGGTTAAATTCAGTTTTACTCCTTTATTCACCTTTCCCTCACACCAAGATGCCAGAGCATAGCTGAGGTTCTCCATAAAAAAAGGCAGAGCACCCTGTGGAAAACTCCAGCAGACAACACCAAGCAAGCCTGGCACATCAGAGGATCCACCCCCAGCCAGCCCAGGCTGGTTCAGCTCACTGCAGCCTCATTAACTCCATCAGAGTTCATCAAACAAAGAGAACAGGATCAGAGAACACAGAGACAGCTCCATGTCCTGCATGCTCAGCTCTTGAAGGAAACACCATGGCTATCAGGAAGAGCACTCCTCCCTGAGAGGTCTCTGGTCCCTGAGAGGCCAGCTTGCAAACAAGCAGCTCTCTGGGTCAGGCTGGCACAGGAAAAGCCATCCTGTTAGTGCTGAACACCTGTCTGTCAAAGGGACAGCACACCCGTGGCCTGCTGGCCCTGCTCCTTTTCCCAGAGCAGCCCAGCCCACACTGGTCCTTCCATCTGCCTATGAGAACTGGGACTTCTGCTACTGCTGCCAAGGGACACTTGTTAGGGGAAGAGCTCAGGGTTACAAAGAAGGGTAGCCCCATTCACCAGCAGCTGGGCTCTGAGATCAGGTCTGCAGGGGAAGTTCGTTCTCATCATCATCAGATCAGATGGTGATAACAGTACCTTCCTCCAGTTCCCAGCCTCTACTCCTCCTGTTCTTCTCCAACACTTCAAAATGCGTTGTCCTCTCTCAAGATCTCCAACTATCTCCTCAACTTTATGAGCCCAGCAGAACTGACTCTTCCAGGTTCAGCAGGGAAGCCATGAAGTTCCACCTCAGCTGCTCTGAATTTTTATGGCTTTCACTTTGCTACAATTGTCCCACAGACTGTGATTACTTAATTACACATCCATCAGTCCTCTTTACAGAGGATTAAAATTCCTATTGTAATTACAAGTGAGGTGCCAATAGGTTAGATTGAAAACTAAGCATCTTGGGTGTATGTGTTGTGCACGAGAAAAGGGAGTCACTGAAAAATGAGTTAAGAACAAAAAGTAAAACTTCATTCTGTATTTAGTTATATGAACAAAAGTGGTCAGAAATTAAAGTAAATTGAAAGTTTCTGAAAAACAATGGACACTCATATAAATACAAGATATAGTTAAACATTAAAATCTTCTCTTTCATGCTTACAAACACAAATGACCTGTTTAGGAAAGCATCCCAAACAAAGCAAGAAATGTGTCACTGAAACTGTAGTGCAGCACCTCAACTCTGCAAAAAAACCTCCACTGAACAGCAGCACAGGCTCCATGAGACGTCGTGGAATACGGACAAAGACTTCTTGAGGGCATTCTAATCCAGAGAAATATACTGGTCTGAATCCTGCACCAGCGTGAATCATGGCAAGGAAGGGTCAAACTGGCCCTGGCATGCGTCAACACTCAGGAACTCGAAGATCCATTTTTTTGGATCTACTTCTATCAGCCACGTACACACACGCAGATCATACCCCTTTCACATTGCACAGGATTTCCAGGAAATTGGACATCTTTCCTCAAATTGTATGCTGCTCAGCTCATAAGAACACTCATACTTCCCTGGCTGTGACCCTGACGGTGCTGATGGCACAGGACAAGGCAGGACCAGAAAGTCTGAATAAATGTGAGCGAGCTAGGGAGGGTCAGCCCTGTGGGGTGCAAACTGCACAGTCACCAGGACCACAGCTCGCCAAGCGCTCAGACCTGTCAACGTTTCCATTTCACTCATCTGCCTGCGGACACTTTCCCTTTGTCTCTGGGAGGTGACAAAGCTTTGTACTTTCTTGTAGCACTGGAACATCTCAACACTGCCCATAGGACAGCAAACATTAGAGTGTGCTCAAAGCAGAAAGGGCTGAGAAGGGTAAGGACAAGCAGAAACACTGACACGAAAGCATGGAGCTTTTGAGTGAAGTACGAAAACCAGAAGAAAAGCACTGGAGGAAGGAATGCAGAACTTGTCTGACTTCAGGGCCTCCTGACATTAGAGTGTCTGATGTCTAACCTTGAAAATTACTTCCTAACAGCAAATATCTGTAATACCTGCTTCTAGAGAGGTACCCATTGCAAATCCTGGCATTAGCATCCCAAAGTGGAAACTACTAACTCCCTGTGATGGGAGTGAGAGAGCAGCTGGGTGAGTGTCTGGGAGTGTCCAAAGCCAAGCCACCCCAGCTCCATAAAAGTATCAAAAATTGATGTAACCTACTGCTCAAACATTTCCTATAAGCAGGAATTTTAAGGTAACATCCTTGTAACAGTCACACAAAGGCTCACCTGAGCC